ATAGACCAATCAAGGGTTGCCAATGTTAGAATCGGGCAGGATTCCAATCTTCTGGAAGTCTTCAAGAAGACATTTCCTCAGAAGAAAAGGTGCGCCTTGATGGAAATGAAAATTATTTATGGAAAGACGGGCTCTTTCATTTTAAAAACAAAATCTATGTGCCTGAGTCCGCAAGGATCAAGGCAATAGACAGACATCACGACACTCCAGTGGCTGGGCACCCTGGGTGGCAACAAACAATGGAGTTGATGGTCCGGAGATAGCCATAGTAGGCTTTCATTCAGCGCTGTGCTTTTGGTTTTGGTATGTTGCACCGAGTGATTTCGGCGAATGCTCGCAGTGCAAGGGTGTCATGCGAGCAGATGCTTGAGTCTGAAAGTGAAAGACGATTGAGGAGAAAGCCTTTTGTAAAGAGATAAATCCCCGCCAGGTGTACAAAAAGCACCCACAGAAGGAGGTAAATCTGCTTGGACAACATGAAGTTTCATGCGTCTTTCCGAAACACTACAGAACACCTTCAACTCCAACCCAGGGATAGCCAAACCCCCCAAGGAAAAATTGGTCATAGCAAGGAAGGTCCGGCGTGGCCTCCGGCCACGCCAGGTGCCAGGAAAGTCCACCGAATTTTCAGCCACTATACTGGGGCATAGTACATCAATTCTAGCTTTCTTTCAGTTTTTTCTTGCTAGCTAGTCTTTTATAGATTAATCAAACTCATATGTAAATAATATCAAGGCTAAAAGTGTTGCTCAATATGTGTATTCAATACTCGTTGCTAACTTTGATTTTTGACTGTGGCTTGCTACTGTGGTAGTAAATTTCTCGCGCGCATGCGCGCGACTAAGCTTGCATGTTATCTCGAGACAGCTGTTCTGCTCGAAAAGCCTCATGATTTTTTCTCGCGTCGGTGACGTGAGAATATGAATATTAAGCATTATTTTATATTATGCATTATAAGTCAGGCTCAAGGCAAGTCAGTAAGACCATGTACTACTATAGTACCAGTAAATGTCCAGCTCACACTCTAATTAGTGAGGTAACAAGATATCCAGCCTGCTATGTATCTGGGCCATTAAATCATTATCATAATGAGATACCATGACATGGTAAAATACTAGGGAGTAGTAATTAAACTACTATACTTCTACTGCTGACTCGAGCCCATAAATTCTTGAAACCTAGGGTAAAAGCAATCGGTCGGGTCACGTGACCAACGGTCAGAACGGTCAATCGGTCAATCGGTCGACCAA